AACAGTATGGAATTTTCTCAAAAAACTAAAAACGGAACTGCCTTTTGACTTGGCAATTCCACTGCTGGGATTATACCCTAAGAATCCCGAAACACCAATTCAAAAGAACCTATGTTCATAGCAGCATTTACAATAGCCCAAGTACTGCAAACAGTCAAAGTGCTCATCAGTAAATGAGTGAATCAAAAAACTGTGGTACATTTACACAATGGAATACTATGCAGCAGAAAGAAGGAACTCCTACTCTTTGAGACAGCATGGATGGAAATGGAGAGTACTACATTAAGTGAAATAAGCTAAGCAGTGAAAGACAAATGCCATATGATCTCACCCATATGGGTAACCTAATCAACAAAACAAGCAAGCAAAACAGAACCAGAGACATGGAAATAAAGAACTTACAATGACCGGAGATGTGGGTGAGGGGAGTAATGGGGGAAAGAATGGGAAGGGTCAAGTCAAGGAACATATATAAAGGACCCATGAACAACAATGGTAGGGGGAGGATTGAAATGTGGGAAGTAAGAGGTAGGGCAAGGGAAAAATGGGTACAACTGTAATTGAACAACAAAAAGCCACAGCTATAGAATTCATCTGAGAGGTTCAGGAAATTAAACTGAGTAAGAGCCCATTAGATATAATACTTGAGAGGGAGCACATGCCATTTTAAAGAGAAAATGGGGTTTGTATCTCTGCAGACCTCTCTAGCACAAAGAAATCACAATTAAGTAATTTGGCTAATAAGCCTGTATCTGGTACTGCAAACTCATCATATTGAAAATCAAAACTGGTCTTTTGGATTAATTTGCACACTCTTGGCTCATGGCTTATTGGAACTCTAAAAACTAATTACAAACCTTCTCCTAGTATTTGTCTGTTCTAGTGGCTCAGAAGGGTGACCACGTTTTTTAATGCTGCTACTCAACTCCTTCCAGCACATGACTAAACAAATAATTAAATGAAAAGAACTGAAAAACCTAGTAACACTTATGGATGTTTTAACAATCATCTGGGAAAACTGACACATTACGATGCCCCAAGTGGTAATGAAGACAGACAGTAATGATGGTAAGGTCACATCTTGTTGTGAATTTGTCAGCTCAGGCCAAATGGCAACAAAGGAGTGACACTGACAACTGAAATTCTTCCCATCCACACAGCTTACTGTACACATTAACAATTTTATTATTCCACTGTTTTCATTCACCTGGTACTAAAATTCCTAGAAACCTGCCCAGGAGCTAAAGTGGCAAATAACTTCATTTTACCTGAATACTGAACTATTTAACTTACCCTCATTTCACAAATACAAAAAATCAATGTCCAGAAATGCGGCAGCTGCATTCCTAGCCAGGGGTCCCTTGACCACTGCCCAGAAGTCTCCCACAACACTATGCTTTGTCTCAAATTAACAATGAGATTCAGGCCTCAAGAAGTTAACAACCAGATTTTATGACAAAATATGAATGCAACAATTACCCCATTAAAGGTAAAGAACCTCAGAAATCACTTTACTCATAAACAAAGGCCTACAGATACATAGTGAATTGCTCAGTATCACTCAGTTAACTGGTATAGTTAAGTGCAAAAGAAATATTACAAGACAGAATGTGATTTAACAGCCAGAGAATGATTAAAAAAAAAACAAAACAAAAAACCACTATATGAAAAAAAAAAAATTATGTGGGCCAGAAAGGACTTACAGGACTTGAGTTGACTTTTGAAACAACAAATGGATTGTAAGGCATGTTCATGGGGACAAGTGATTTCTTCAAGTAGTTTCAGGAATATCCATTGAGTTGGTAAGAGGAGACATAGTTTGGAGCATTTAAAATTTCCAGTCAAGTATGTATTTGATTCTGTGGGAGCAGAGATATCCAAAGTTTAGAGAAAGTTTCACAGGAATGCCCAGGTAGCAATATGTTGAATCTTTCCAAATACATGAGTTGATATATTTCAATAAACTAGTAACCTTGTTTCTATAAGCCTTACCATCCATTAAAGCTAGGAAAGTTTTTAAAAATTTCTTAAGTTATTCTTCAAAGTGAAGCATATTGTCACTGAATTTAAAATGACTCTCTTAATTACACTTAGATTTAAAAGAAGTTTCAGATAAACCTTTCTTTGGTCAACTAACTTCTTTTATTTTCATTTTTTAGGCTTTCATTTTCAGGATACAACCAAAGTGAGTTGATACCACAATGAAAACAGGTTTAAAAGTATTGTCGCACACAACCAAAGGGGTAAAAAGGAGAGACACTGATATCACAGCCAAAATACTGATAATATCACCATTTATAATAGAGTTAAACAGACATCTAAATCTGCAAGTAGAATATTCAATTTAAAATTTTACTTCTAGAATTATACAATTACTCCATAGGGCCACTTGTTTAAATTCCTTCCCAAATCAATGATCTCATTAATAAAAGATTCACATCAGAATTAATCTGTGTCAATCATACCTCAGTAAGGCTGGAAAAAAAATTAAATAATCTGAAAGAATTCTACCTTAAACTATGGATCATAATGTTAAAAAATGTTAATTTTATCATAATAAAACTAAGTCCAGAACTATGCTTTCTATGCATTGGCTGAAAAAGGAGACAAATGAGTTGAGAGAAAATTGTTTTCAAAAGCAAGACTTACTAGAATAATAACCTCCATTCCTTATGCAGTACCCCAAATCACAAGACTTCAAATACTGAATTCTATTTCTCAATGTTGACTTCTGAATATGCTGAATATTATTGTTACAGTGGTCCGATGAGTGAAATTTTAAGTATTAAAATTCACATTTAAATTTAACAGACTGCTAAATCTTCAGTACTCCTACTAAAAAAAAACAAGATTTGAAGTCAGAACTGGATTTACATTGTACCTGTTTCTGTCATAGCTCTCTGAGCCTGTTCGCCTGGAAGACGTGTGATACTTACCTACTGTAGGTTGTAGTTGAGACTAAATGAATCATTACAGTAACTTAGAATAATTCCAATAGGTCATCAGTGAATGGTAGCTATGATTACAGACACAGGAGTCATCATGAAAACTTTTGTCATTCTAAGTATTTAGGCTGTATGTGGTAGAACACTGCATTTCCCATTAAAGCGATCAGATTTTAAACACTTCCATGGTGGAGCTGAATGATGATCGGGTGATGGGGGAGAGCCGATGGAGCAGCAGAGTTCTCCAGGACGCTGCTGCATCTCATTCTTTCCTAAGTGATCTGTAGTTAAGATGCCATGTTGAGCACCCATAAACCAGTAATGGAAAAAAGGGTCCCTTAAAGGTAAAATTATCCCAGATCATTTCTGAGCTTTTGATGTGCCAGAAAATTGCTTACTCAGATGTCTACTGTGACAGTCCTAAAGAACTGAAAGATGATGTTTTCTGAAATATCAAGTCTCTATCTGTTTTGCCCATTTTTAATTTGCTGTGTATTTTCTAATTACTTAAAAATTTGAAATTTATAATTTTATGTATACTAGGAACTAGAAAATAGAATGCTTGATTAAGCATTTACTCTATTTATGACTATGACTAAAGTGATTTCTGAGGTTCTGAAATGATGGGGATGAGGTTCCCCATCATTTGTTCAAATAACAGAAAAAGATGTGTATGATTACGCATTATCAAGTACATAGTGACCCAACTATTCATTTGAACATTATTAAATACAAATTAAGCATTTCTAAATATACAACTAGAAATCATACATCTTCAGTTTTAGTGAAGGTTTAGAAAAGTTTATTTTGTGCTTACAATATTTTTCTAAAGCATCACAAAATTACTGTACATCCAAACTCTTCTTCAATGGCAGAATACGTAATATTCTAAAGGAGAAGCCTTTAAAGAAAACTGTTGTATACTATGAAACTGTAGGTCTAATGAACTAACAAAGCAGCAAAATCTACACGAAAGGGGACATTACAGAAATCATCTATTACATAATAAACAGGTGATCATTCTGAATACTTACGGTTTCACCTTTTTGTAGCCAATACAGTTCTCTATTGCCGCCCCACACCAATCCCACTTTTGCTGTAAGGTGCTAATTCTTTAAGTAAAAATATGTTAAATGTTTTTTAATCATCCTGCTGACTCCCACCTGTGACATACCACATAGTAGAAAGTCTAGAATACATAGTTTGTTTGTCTTCTTAAAGACATAAAAATATTATGACTTTAAAACATCAAGTGTACACTGACTATAAAATCAAGAATTTTCTGTATGAGGACAGATGTACATCAAAAACTAACACTATAAAAGATCCTTTTTCCTGAGTAAAATGCTAACTTTATTTTATATCAGATTAAGCTTCCATCAATTTTTAAAACATAAAATACAGTCTTTTCCACATCAAATAAGTCTGGAATGTTTACCTTCACATCAAAAATACAAAAAAGGTCCAAGTAAAAGTTCAAGATTAATTAAAAATCTCAAATAAGTGGCCAAAATTTTAAATCAGTAGATAGCTCTTCAATTTTAAGGACCCCTCAGTAAACTTCAGTTTGCAACAATAAAATAAAATACTACAACAAAATAAAATACTATTTATTGAAATATGAAAAATATTTCCAGGATATTCTCCAATTTGGAAAATGAAAAGTGTAACCCATGGTAAGAAAGGTATGCTGAACAGAGAAACAAAAAATATAACCAAACTTTATAGGAATCAAGGCAACACCATGGACTTACAAAAACTTCCTAAATCAGGAGCATATCCTGTATTATCATGTGTAAAAAAACTGTCATTAAAACAAGGTTAGTTTTTATTAGTTGCATTATTTAAAAATGAGGAAATTTTGGACTATTTTCTCTAAAAGGACCAGAAAATTGTCACTGAAATAGTATTTCTTGAGACAATGGGCAAAGTTCCCATTTATGGGAAATATGTTTGTTTGTTTTTTCACACAGTGAAACAAGAAAATTTTATTAAATGAGAAATCTTTTTCTCTAATCTCCTTAAATACCTCAATAATGCAATACTTGGGAAATGTAATTTTTCAACCTCAAAAATTTTATTATGAAAAAGGTCATTATTAAACAAACACACAAATCTTATTGCTTGGCACCAGATTCTTCAAAAATTTAAAGAACTGTTTAAGCCACCACACTGCTGTTATATCCTATTTCAAACTTTTTACATAGTGCTCCTTTTCTTTTCTAAAGATAGACCTTTCAATCTAATGACAAAATAGATGGAATCTTGCAAGGAACAAGTCACAGTTCACTTCAAACCAAAAGAAATGATTAATCTTCTGTTTCTGTCCAAATTATATTAAGATCTTTATAAAAATTAACTAAGATTTATCTGCGGCCCATGAAGGACCCACAGAACGTTGTCTTATGGCACTCTGTGGAAAGTCTTTATTTGTTCCTTCTTTATGTTCAGCATCCTCTTCTGAAACATCTTCTTCATCAGCCTCGTGTTCCTCCTCCACTTTTTTCAAAGGTTGAGAAGATTCTGTTAATAATTTTTCTGAAAGATAAAGACCACAAAATATTTTTTGTTGATGTATTAGATTTGCATTAGTATAAAGTCAAGACATGATTTCTTACGCCCATAAACTGCTTTGGCATTTATTTATCAATCCAAAAGGAAAAAGCTGTCTTCAAGACTAAGAGATACCATAAAAATAAAAGTTGGTTTACAAGATCCATTTTACTTTCCAAATTCATTATGATTACCTATTTATGAATTGAAATTAACATATCAGAATTAATGCTGTGAAAATGGACGTTGTAAAAAATATACTGCATTAAATACAATTATATAATTTGCCACTAAGTCTTTTAATAAGTATACTAAACCAAATTTCCACATTACCCTTGATTCAGTTCCCAAGTGAATAGCATTTACAGTTGAAGGTTATATTCCTATCCATGTTTTTTTTCCAAGTAGTTTCATAAATGTGCTTCCTCTACTCCACATACACTTTTATTAAGGTATAATTACAAACAACAGAATGTACAAATCTCAAGTGCATAGCTCCATGAATTTTCAACTATGTACACATAGACTTTTTTTTTCTTAAGACCTGTTGCTAGTTAACGTAACCTTAGACCACACCAGGTTAAACTGAGATACAGAGCACAGAACTGGGCCAATGAGCTTTGCTCTCTTCAGAGACGCTAGACTGCCCCTCTTTGCAGGCAATCCAGAATGGAGGGGGAACAACTCAGCAGCTTTAGGAATAAACTACCATGTAGTGAACAATGTGTTCTTTGGTCTGCCTGACACCCCTCTTTCTGTTTGGTTAGTAGCCTCTTCCCTGCACCACATCCCATGTGGGCGTGGTGAGCACTACAGTTTACAGCAGTGGTTCTCTACCAGGGGTGATTTATGTGGTAATGTCTGGGGAATTTTTGATTGTCACAACTGTGAGGTGGTGCTGCTGGCAACCAATGAGATAATGCTGAACACCCAACGACATACAAAAGGCAGTCCATCATAACTAAAAATTATGCAGCCCAAAAGGTTAATAGTGTCAAGGCTGAGAAACCCTGGTTTACAGTGACTGTTCTAAAAAGTGAACTGTTTACTTAAGTGGAGTACACCAGAATTCTTCCAATGCTGATGGCTGTGGGGAGTGATGTATTTCCTTCTCACTCTGCAATTGTGAGCTATCATTTTTATGCTAAGGACTGAAGACAGACAAAAATGGAGCAAATAAAGGCAAGGAGAAGCCCTGCCTGGTGTAACTCAGTGGATTGACCACGGGCCTGCGAACCAAAAGATCGCGGTTCGATTCCCAGTCTGGGCACATGCCTGGGTTGCAGGCCAGTCCCCAGCAGGGGATGCACAAAAGCAACCATACGTTGATGTTTCTCTCCCTCTCTCCTTCCCTTCCCCTCTAAAGATAAATAAATAATTTTTTTTAAAAAAGGCAAGGAGAACTTGAGCAATTCAGAAACATAACATCCTAATATGTGAGCCCCAGGAACCAATCAACTCTACCCTCAGATTTCCTTGCTACATAAACCAATAAATTCCTATTCTGCTTAAAACTAGACTGAGGTGAGTCCTTCCCCAAGCAACTCAAAATCTAAGCCAAACACACACACTAGAAAACAATTCAAATCATTAAGCCCATTACTAAAAGGGGTGATTTTACAAAGTATGGATCACTATCTATCACTTGTGTCACAGATAACTTAAGAGACACATTTGTTTGGCTGAGGTTTTTGAAATGAAATAAAATATACATTCACCAACTTTTAAACTGTCTGTTAAGTAATCTGTGCTCACATCTTTCTTCCTACAGAGCAGAGGCCCTCGGTGAATAAAATGTTTCCCTTCCCAATACATGTCCTTTTTATACCATCAATGAAATTACCTACAAAATGAAAAAAAAAAACCTATCAGCTATTCGATGAACAAAGTAAACAGTAAATGCAGTCTCCACTGACTTCATTTAAGAAGTTCTGACCTCAATAAATCCTAAGTCATGAAAGGAAGCATATGGGAAGGCCAGGCCAAGAGCCTAATTTAGGTTCTACCCTAAGCTCTGTCATTTCTGTGTGACCTTGGAAAACGGTTAATCTCTCTGTGCCTTAGTTTACTCAACCACAAAATTGGAAGAATGATGCTTTTATGCAGTACACTTTAGAGGGCTGCTGAAAAACAAATGGGATGACAAAAAGTGAAAGTTCTTTATGAACAGCAAACACGAGGGCTTCCATAACAATGTAATTTTCAAGACTGAAAATAAATGATTGCTTATCAGGACAGACAGCAGTGAATACTTCTAATTATATAAACTCATAGCACAGTGTCAATCCTAAATCAACTATAGGAATTGCTTTTCCCAATTTCCTACCAGAAGAACTCAAGACATGGCTGACTAAAAAGAAAAATCTTCAAACACACTATAGCAATGAATGACTTCCAAAGCAGAATATATTTAACTTTTTTGTACTCAAGTATATTCAAATGGGTCTACAAATACCACAAAATTTTCAAATAAACCGATATCAATGTTATTAAATATCTGCAAATTATATACAATATTAAAATTCTCCACATTATAAAATAAATATGTTCCAAAATCCATGGAGCTGTTATTCTTACATGAAATATACATTCCCCTCCTCCTTCCGATATAAGCCACCCTCCATATTTAGAAACCTAAGCTGGAAGGGAAGGATTAAGAAGTACAAATTTCCAGTTATAAAAGACAGTCACAGGAATGTAAAGTACAGGATAGGAAATACAGTCAATAATATTGTAATAACTATGTATGGTGTCAGATGGACACTAGACTTACTAGAGTGATCACTTTGTAAGGCAGGAATTTTCAACCGGTGTATGCAAGAATTTTTAAAAGATGCAGTACCTGACTCGTCAGGGGCACTGACTTCTTGTCCCTTAGACTGTCCAATTAAAAAAATGGTAACAGCCAACACAAAAAGAGCCATCCAGTGCAAATGATTCAAAATTATACCTATCTTTATTTTCAGATAGGCAAAAAAATTTATTTTGGGGGGGTGCCACAGAATTTTAGTAATTTATGTGTGCCATGAAATAACAAGGTTGAAAACTGCAGTCATAGGGTATATTAATGTCTAACCACTAAGCTGTACACTTGAAACTAAAATACATCAACTATAATCAAAAAATAAATTAAAAAAATTAATAAAGAAGTAATGATAGAACCTAAAATAAAATAAAAATATACTTACTGGAAGGGTATGGCTGAGGTCGGCGCCTTTTTGAAGGACAAAGACAATCTGCCACAAATATCATACACTGCAAAAATGAACATAAGAATGCCAAATGTATAATACATTATAAAGCTAGTGCAACTATATAAAATTACCAAGTTTTAAAACATTTTTCTTCCTAGTACTCCGAAAATAAAGTACTTACGAGTCCTAGTAATAGTCCTGAAAGCAGAGTTGCTAAAGCAAAAACTGTGTATGATCCCCATACTGGTAATCCGAGGTCCTCAACAAAATAGTTATGGCAAGTCTAAAATCAAAAGAAAAAATTCCCTAAAAACCTGGTCATTTGAAAAAAGTAATACTGTCAAAAATGTTTAGAATAGAAATAAAATTTAAGCTCATACCCTGATCCACATAGATAGCTGAAAAAGAGCTGACATACTACTCATCCTAAAATGAAAGAAAGATGGTTGAAAAACTGAATAAAATATACAGCTTTAAAGTGGAATATGTGTGTGTATAGCTATAGCTTCTATTTTTCACTCTATAGTCTCAGTGGACCAGATTTTATTGATGGTGTTAATCAAGATTAGTCATACAGCATTAATTTCAAGACTTTAATGAGACTTGTTAATGAAAATTAAGTTTCTGAATTGTTCCCATTATGTGATGTCCTCGTACATAAACAGAGTAATTTTTTTCCTTTTCCCCTACAGCTTTGACATTAACCTTTCATCTGATGACTTCTCCAATGTACTCTGCTAAGAGATTACAAGTTCTATGGAACCAGTTAAAGTCAGGCATACTGTAAAGCAACTGGCTTCAAATAAGCACAGAATCCCTTCACAAGCAGAGCCTTAAGGAAGAACTAGGTACACATATTGAACAGATCCTCCCACCATAGAATTACCCCCCTTTCACACTAAAATTGAACTTACAATAGCTTCAGTTTGATATAGTTTAATGATATATAAAATTGCATAGGAAACAAATGCTAAGTCATCATATAAGTAAAAATAATTATTTTCATATAATTAAATCCAAGCAGTTTGGATAGATAGTTAAAGGGCATGTTCCAAATATAAGACAGGTTTGTTTGTTCCCAACTGTTTTCCCTCTATTACCACCAACATATAAACCAATTCACATGCAAGCCAAAGTTCCTAGATGCAGGACAACCTAATCCAACTATCCATCATTAGAGGAGTCAATCTGCTGAGCTGACACTTGGAGTGCCCCTTATTCAGTTCACCAATCAAAAAGGTACAGACTGCTGCCCTGAGGACTCAGCAGAGACTCAGAAGCAAACTCCTTCTTCTACCAGAAGGCTAAGATTCACCTATGAGATTTCAAAAAACAAAAATCAGTTACATTTTCAGTCCAACAGAGAAAGGTACTTTAATCACGTTGCTTTTGTTTAAAATGAAAAATGGGAAGAGGAACAAGGAATTGAAACATAAAGCATCCCTACAGTCTGAAGTAATTAGATTCCATCACGAATACTTAGTGCCTCCATTAGGTTGACATGGTGGTACAGTGGAGAAATTTTGATAGAAAAGTACATATCGATTCAAATTTTCACGGCAGAAGTGTAAGGGGAAGGTGGAAAAGATAAATTCTATTTCAAAATAATGCTTAGAGCCAATCTTCTCCCTACTCCCAGAATCCAGAGCATATTTCTCTTTCACCACTGGTATCCCAAGTACCCAATATTCCAACAGCAAGTGTGGTGAAGAGATAGGAGAGACAGCTTAGCCACGCCAAGTCAAGTCCATGGTGACCTTAGCAAAACTCAATACTCCTGAAAGTCTCTTGAATGCCCATGAGGTACTGCACCCCAAACAGCTAGCAGGAAATATGCATGCTATCTCCAATCCTTACTGTTCCATAGTAAGCTACTGCCCTCTAGTTATATGTGAAGCTCAGTGGTTAGTCAGGCCAAAGGAATATTAGGGTCATTGTTCATCCCATCTATTCAAACAAAAAGTTATCAGACTGGTAGAAATTCAATCACACTAAATAAAGAACTAAAATCTAAAGATAGCACAAGTAGATACATGTTTGCAGCTTCTCATTCAAATATGAAGCTCAAATGACAGCTTTCCCATTTCTTCATAGTTAGGAACATCATTTAGCTTCTGATGATACAAATGACCTTATCCTCAGAGTTAACACATTCCTGGAAAGAATTTCAAGTTAATGCTATAAAATGTCTCCTAGCTTAACAAGGATCAAAGTATTTGTTTAACCTAGAAGAGTCAAATCAAAAATAATCACATAATAAATCTGAATATACTTTAAGAGCCCAAGAATGCTTTATTTACACAAAACATAATTACCTGCTCCAATTAAAACAGAAATACATAAGAAAAAAAGCCCTCATACTTACAGAATAGAACCCGGACCAAACCATGATGAAACAGGTTCAATACTCTTCCACTCTTTGTCACTTACAAAGTTTATGAAGTCCTTCTTAGTCCTTGGGCCCTGATAACGCCTAAATTCACCATCTTTACAACTAAAAAGGTAAGAATAAGTATTATCCAGCACCAAATAAACTTTGTATTTGTTTTGCTATTTCTTTAATCTTATTTTAAAATTAATCTTAATACTCAAAATCATTAGCAAAGCACAAGTAGCAAATTACATTATCAATTAACAATATCTCAGCCCCAAATTTAATCAATGAGGTTATATTTTTTACAAAATCATAAGCCTAAGACTATCACTGTTACTCTTCCAAATAATAAAACCAGGAAACAAAGTAAGTCATTATATGTCAATTATATCTCAGTGAAACAGGGGTACAGGAGGACAGACTGACAGACACAAAGGAGATAACTAACTCTCGGAAAATAACTTTTAAGCCTTATGTGATTCTACTTTACAGTCTGCTGTGCATTCTTCCTGATATCCACCTAGCCCTTCCCATTCCCAGTGTATGGAGTTGTGCTGTAGGATGCTAAGTGCTCTCCCTGCTCCCACATCTTCACCATTCCCAAACTACCTTAAATAATACTGTAGTCTAACACTACTTAATTAACACTTCCATTTTTAACAGTTAAATGTAACAACTTTCAATAGTTCCCTACTATAGGGTTAAAGGATCCTTTATCCATACAGAGCCGAAGAGCACAAGAAAGCCAAAATACAATTTGTGGGGAGAACAAATGGCATTTGAGCTGTTTTTGAGGGGCAGGTAGGATTTCAGAAGTCAGAAGTTAAGAGAATGGGCATGATAAACAACATGATTAAAAGAAAATGGGCAGGAAATTCCAGATAAGTTCAGGGGGTGTTGAGAAGTACAAGGGAAAGGGGGAGTCTGACTACAGCCACTTAAGAGATACTGTTAAGAGATACTGTAGAGAAAAGTACTGATTGAAAAGGAAAAGAAGCACTTACGGAGACAGAGAATAGACATTTAAATAGATACAAAGGGAGCATGAGAGAATAAAACAGGTGTAAGGAACTATTTAGACACAAAAAATAAAAAAGAAGAAAAAGAGAAACAGACACACAAAGAACTGCCAACTTGTTGTTTGCATAACTTTTAATGAGAGCTCAATGAATACCTCCTGGCATTCAACCCACCAGCCAGATGGGCATTAAGATAAAGGGTAGGTACAGATTTGAGATTTTCTATCTCCACTTAGAAGATAAAGTCAAACTAAAAGACCTGATATTGAAGACTATACAATCCTGTTCATTTTCACTTAACACCCAACCATTTCACCTACCACTGTCCCAAGGTTGAATTACAGCACTTTCTTAGCTAATTTTTTAACATACCATGTTCCTATTTATGACTATTTATGAGATGCCCTCAAGATGTAATGCTTACTCTGTACTTTTGAAATCTACCTCCAAGGTTGTGTTGAAACCCCATAATCTCCACAAACCACTCCACTCCAGCGCAGGTTTTCCCTTACCAATTTTCCTATAGGACTAACCACAACTCTGGGCTTAAAAACTTTTACTATGCTGAAGAATAGCAAATCATTTCATGTGAACATCACCTTTGAAAACAATTACAAATCTTTGAAATCAGGGGCTGTTTCATACATCATTCATCTATGTAAAGGCACCAGGACAGTGCTAGTAGTTAATAAACCTTCTAATACACTTAATGAATATAATGCTCCTTAAACATAATCCAGGGCAGAGGCCTCTATTCTGATTATATTATGATGCATCCTTCTTCATAACCACCAAATCTTCAAATACTTACTGATAAATAGTAGGAAGAGCAGTTATGATAAATCGCCCACTCAGTCCTACAAATGATAAAGATTACAAATAAAGACAAGAAAGAACACAGAGCAGGTTTTATATGGGCCAATCACTTACTACTTAAAAGTTGATTCTGATTTAAATACTAATAAGGAAAAATATTAAATTACACCAAGAATAGTTGAGTTCTTTTTCTTTCTTAAAAGATTTTATTTATTTTTAGAGAGAGGGGAAGAAAGGGAGAAAGAGGGGGAGAGAAACATCAATGTGTGGTTGCTTCTTGGGGGCCTGCAACCCAGCCATGTGCCCTGAGTGGGAAGCAAACTGGCGATGTTTTAGTTCACAGGCCTGCATGCAATCCACTGAGCTATACCAGCCAGGTTAAGAGTTTTGTTAACATAAAAAATAAAAAACCTAATTATCTACTTAAAACAACTTTTTAAAAAACTACTACACATAATCTCAATTAAAAAGTGAATTTATATATAAACACTTGATCAATTATACTGCACCAACAGCTGTCTAAATTATAAAGGTCTAAAATCAAATCAAATTACACTTGACATTCAGAAAACAAAGGCTGAGTTTAAGATGTTAGAAATGGAACACATCATGAATCATAAGCTGGGCAATAATAATAGGAGCTAACGTGACTACAAGTGTTCAATATTAGCTATTATTACTATTTGGAATCGGGCAAAGTCAAGAACCCAGGTTATATTGTGAGCAAGAACAGGTAAGATGAGATTGGACTAAAAAAGGAGCATGCCTGAGGGCAGAATCTGCCACTTGGCCAGAGGGTCAAGTCAGGAGTGCACTTGACCCCACCCACAACCATGCAGGCTTTGTAATTAAAAGCCAAGGTCCTCAAATCACAGGTATTAAATTTGGAACCCAATTACATAGATTCATACTACTTGTCAAGGAATATGACCTTGACTCTGCAAAGAACCTCAATGGCATGCTCTTTATCCTGAAGCTTAATACGGATGCAAATGGTTGCTCTGGCCAGTATCTGCCTGGACCACAGTGTTCTAGGACTTCCTACACACTAGTCTGGGGCCTGGGATACAAAGCAAAAAAGATCAGAGGCAGTTATATGGGGAAGAATGAGGGGAGAGTGAGATCTCCAAGATCCCTTAGAGCAACACATAAAAGGAATGAGCTGCATACATTCCTTGAAACCAAGGAATCTGCTTTTTGAAGTCACTGCACACTGAGCCCCCAGCAGGGAGGTGGTAAGTTGGCTTAATTAACTGCAGACAGTTATGTTTTCAAAACCTAGTGAAAGGTAAAAACCATGCAATGTGGAAAAGAGGATAAACTTAACCCAATATGCAAACAAACAAAGCCATCCACAGACTTAAAGTACCTGGCTGCTCTGTAACATCTACTTTTGCAACATGAACCTCAAGATCTTCTCCCCATTCAGCAAAACTTTCCCATTCTGGCTGAAGATTCTGACAAGCAGGACACCATGGTGCATAACTGAGAAATATAGTTAAAATGAAAAAGTCAGACACTCAAATACAACCATACTGGAATAAAAATCCTAAAATGCATAATTGTGAAGAACATTTTATATTAAAAAAAACCCCAAGATAATGGAGTGGTTAATTTCATGAAAATAAAAAAGTTTTAAATGTGAACCTAATACTCTGGCAATTAAGATCTATGAGTTGATGATGCTAATCACATAAAAGTTAAGTCTCAGAATAAGTTAAGATACAAGGACGTTTTCACACATAAAGCAGCTCTTTAAAAAACAAAAAAACCCTTTGTATTTCTCTATGAAAATTTGGCCCCCAGAAAGCTCAAAGCTCCATTTGGAGTTCACCGGTTTTAATAATTTTAAACTGCAGGAGTCTCAAACGCAAGGTGCCAGTATAAGAAAAATAGGAAGCACCCAGGGCTGTGGGGAACAAGGAGAGTTGCACCCCATCTTGAGCAGGAAAGGACTGCTCAGGATGACTGCCACAAGGGGCTGCTGGCCCAGTATGGCAAGCTATTCTTATGTAAAAGAAACCAAAAAATCTGCATTTTCATTTTTTAAAAAATGTTCCCTCAAAACATAAGTCATGGACACAAACTCCAGACAGGTCAAACAAAATTCTTTTGGCCAGCCTTTGGTCAGCCTGTTTTTAAGACCTCAGGTTTACAAATCTATAGCCAAGCACATTATAATTTTAGTTACTACTCAAGCATTCAGCATTTTCCAAGGCCCTGATTTTCCCCTCAGGTTTGACTTTGCCACTTTATTGCGTATTATCTTATAATTTGCCTCAGTTTAATGGAACAGAAAGAATAAAGCCTCTACCTCTTAAATACAAAAGTGGTTTCTGTACTCCATTATATATAATACTTGACTTGTTTTGTGAAAAACGAGACTCCTAAAAATAATAGGCATTGTGGAACAAGACTAGTACCATACATAAAAGCCAAAGTTCCTAATAATAAATAGTATTAAAATGAAAATATCTCTGTAATAAAACTTTTGATGAGAATGAATTTAATGTAGGTAACAGACTTGTTATAACTAGCATTTAGGACTACTAACTAGATCCCTTTACCAAGTTCCTTTTGTTTTTTGAGTGCTTTTTAAAGATTCAGCCTCAAAAATCAGTAAGGTATGGAGGAAAAAAAAGTACCATCATATATTCTAATTTCACAGATGCTCTAATTCGGATCACCTGTACTTAACTCTTGAATATTTATATAGTTTGATCAAATTGAGTTTTAAAAAATCTCCTTGAGTAATACTTGACTGTATTTCACATATAAATTCATAATCACTGTTGCTTAACACATTATTTATGAAACAGTATTTTATGGGCACAATCTAAAACAAGTTCTCATGACAATAAAAACTAAATGCTATCACTTGTTATATATCATTTCCCCTGCAACTTTCAGTGATGCCTAAAAATGCACTTCATTGAGTCACAGATTATATGCACACCATACACATTTTCCCTTATCTTATGCTCCATATTTCTTTTTTTGATTTTAAGTCCCACTCAAGACTTAACAGATTTGGCCTTCTGGGTTTTCCCTTAATAATGTCCACTTTCACCTGCCTCCTAAACTGGCAACCTGAAAATACTGGAACCTTGTTAAAGAAGATTGTGTACTAACAGCTATCAATGCATGTCTACTCTGTTAAGCTGTAGAGCAGGGCTGTCAAACTCATTTTCACCCGGGACCACATCAGCCTTGCAGTTGCCTTCAACAAAGGGCAGAGATAATTTTAGGGCTGTATTTCTGTCCTAAATAATTTTAAGACTGTATGACTACTCCTTAACTATTAAGGAATTGAAATCACATTCTGCCCTTTGAAGGCAACCAGGAGGCTGATGTGACCGCCGGTGAAAAGGAGTTTGACACCTCTGCTTTAGAAGCTGAAAAAAGCAGTATCTGGACAGGTTAATTAAGTCTTTAGGTATGTTTCTCATCTGTAAAATGTGGAAAATAATACCTTTCTTATAGAACTTTGAGATAATTAAATATAATAATGTATGTAAAGTGCTTAGCAGTATCTAGTACAGTTAACAGTCAACGGTGTTTCTTTTATAATACCACCAGCATTAATAACACTGCCCACCACTACCACCAATTTGCAAACTAAAGCAAAGGTAGATTACTTTCTACTGATGCAGAATGCACCTTATTATAATAGAACTACCGCAGAAACGATTTTCTTCAAACAGTTTACAATGACATTGACACATCTTTTAATGCGGTACCATTCAGAGAGCATTGAGTCACAACCCAGGACAATCAGTATTTTGCAAAAACACATAAGCAAAGAAAAAATGAAAAGCATAAAATGAGAAAAGCAATAAACGAAAAATGATAAAGGGAATTAAGATTTTAAAATAACCCAACTTGAATTTGCTTGACATTTATAATAAAAATATACCTAATCCATAAAATAAAATTTAAAATGAAGAGTCCCTAATTCCAACACTATAGAATGGGCTACTATTTAAGGATATTTGGACAAAAGAAGAGAGGTTCCGCTCAAATTCCTCTCTTGTAAAATATGGTAAAAATAATCGAGCCCGTTTGTGAAACATCATTCTAAAATAAATAACTGTATAGGAACGAGTCACCCCAACCACCCCACCCCCAAAACCATGAATTAAAGTTGAAAGAACCGGAACGCAATCTCGTAGGCACACTACAGCCTTAAACACGAAACCAGAGTGCACAGTTTTAGAAGAAACTTAATGTTCCTTGGTGAAAACGAGGAGTGGGAAGGACCGAGCCGGCGGCCGGACCGAAGAGCAGTTTGGAGATATGGAAGCAGCGGGGGCACGAGCTCCGCAGTCCGCAGTGGCAGTCCCCAGGAACTTGGGCCTCGGAGGAGGGTCAGGGGAGAGATGAAGTTTGGCGTCCAGACTCGGACCTAGGACCCCAGCTAGCCCGGCCCACCGAGGGGACCCAAGACAATCACCCCTCGCTCACAATTCTATCATCCACTCTCCTTCCAGCAACTCTCTCCAGTTCTCGTCCGTGACGACACGCACGTCGCTCCGCCGTCCGTGGGTCCAGGGAGCCCCGCAAAGCAACAGCACCAGCACTGCCACGGGAACTACAACACTCCCGGGGGTCGCCATGTCGGCCGCTGGCCCACCCCTCAGCAACAGCGGCGGTTCCCACCTCCGCGGACCAGCCCCTCACTTCCGCCCTGGCGGGACGATCTGCTCATGCGCAAGACCGCGCATCAGGACAGGCGCGTGCCCGTGCGCGCGCGCGCGTCTAGAAAATCCTGAATGCGCCTGTAGAGGTCTTGTTCCAGTACCCTGAGTATGGAGGGGAGCGCGACTATTCCTAGTGCGCATGACAGAAAAGCGGTCCCTTTTCCCAGCAAGTAGTGTGCCCGAGTATTACGGGAAGGAACTGAGAGAACTAGAATCGCGGTGTAGAAAGTGGGAGGGGCTTCGGAGAGGAAGGGTTTCAAAGTCTGCAACTGAATTTGGCGCCAAGTGATTGGCATTTTATACTTACTCTATCTAGGCGATTGGGAAGTTTACCGCAGTTTCCAGTTACATGCCCTTCCTAGGTTTCTTTCGTTTCCTTTGGAAAGTTTTGTAGTAAACCTAATGGATTTTTATATGAGTCACAATGTTGATTTACTTCTGGAGGATTATAGATTGGAAAGGTGCACAGGGGAACTTTATGTGGTACCCTTTATATTCTGCGCCTTGTTCTGAACAGTATTTTACAAGGGCGTACGCAAACGTAAAAAGCCATCGAGCTGTACATGTTAGGATTAGTGGACTTTATGCACTTTAGTATGTATGTTATCCCTCAATTTTTTAATGCAGTAATACAGAGATGCTAGGTCAGAAATCAAGATAGAACAAATGCAAATCAAAACGTGCGCTGTGTTTAGAAAGTATCAGTCAAATGAAAATAGTTGCCCTTACACGTTCTCACCTAACATTCTCTCCTAAATTCACTTCATTTGGCACTTCCGTACCTCTCCATAGAAAGGCCCTTTCAAGGATATTAGTGAGCTGCGTGTTAACAAAGCAAATTTTTTCTTCTCAGTATCCATTTTACTTGACTGCCAGCAGCAATTTACAGTCACCACGCCCTCTGTGAAATGCTTTATTGTCTTCCCTTCTGTGGTGCCTCACTTGTTTTTACACCTTCCTCACTAGCAGTTCCTTCTGAAACTTCTTGACTGGTCCTCCTCTACTTGACTTCCAGATATTGGCTTGTTGCAGGATGCTGTACTAGTGCCCCTTCTTCTCTTTATAATTAATTACTCTCTCCTTCAGGATAACCTCAGTCCTGGTTTAAAAGCCGCCAAAATATCTGTTGTTCCAGCCCTGACCCTTCTGGGAACATTAAACTCTTTCTTGGACATCCTTTGGGTTTCTAATGGGTATACATAACATGGCCAAAAAATAATAATATTCTTGATTTTCCCTCTTGTAGTTTTCCATTTCAGTTAAAAGTTCCAAATTCCATTTGGTTGCTCAAGACAAAAATTTATATTTTAATTCTTTGTTGCTCTCTCTCTTCACTTCCTCCTCATGTGCTCCATCAGTAAGTCCCATAAACTCTACCTCCCAAACATATCCTGAATATGACCACTTATTTCCTTTCCCACAGCCAACACCCTAATGCATGGATCTATTGTCTCTGCCAGGACTACAATTATAGATTCCTAACTGATCTCCCTGTGTCTCTCTTGTTTCTCTACATAGAATCAAGCCATTTCTCCCTAAAACTCTCCAAGTGCTTCCCAATGCACTTAAAATTAAATCCATACTTCTTAAATGCTAGGGTCATCTATGTTTTCATGTGAGAGTTCTATAGTTTTAGTTAAATCTTTGATTTATTTTGAGTTAATTTTTATATATGGTATGGGATTGGGGGTCCACCTTCAATTTGTTGCATGTGGACATTCAGCTGCCCCAACACAAATTGTTGTAAAAACTTCTTTCACCCTTGCATACTCTTGGCATCATTATCACAAATCAACAAACTTATCAGTTTATAGATAGATGAGGTTTGTATTTTTTCCCTGTAAATCTTCAGTCCTATTCTAGTGATCTAAATGTCCCCTTAGTGCCCATAACACACTGTCTGCCTTTATTATTATAGTTTGAAATCTGTGAGTCTTCCAATTATGTTCTTTTTCAAGGTTGTTTTAACTGTACTGAGACCCTTGAATTTTCATATAAATTTAAAAATCAGCTTGTAAATTTCTATTTTTTTAAAAAAGCTGGGATTTTACAAGAGTATGCATTGATTCTGTAGATCAATTTGGGGAGTATCGCCCTTTTAGTAATATAAAGCCTTCCAGTCTATGAACATAGGGTGTCTTTCCATTTATTTAGTTCTTAAAATTTTCAGCAATGTTTTGTAGTTCTCAGATTATAAGTTTTGCACTTCTTGTCTTTTTCCTGTTTTTAGGGGGAAAGGATTCAGTCTTTCATCACTAAGTATGAAGTGAGTGTGGGTTTTTCACAGATGCCCTTTTTAATGAAGAAATTCCTGTCAATTACCAGCTTGTTATACATGTTTATTATGAAGGAATGCTGAGTTTTGTCAAATGCTTTTTTGTTTAGCACTTATTGAGGTGGTCATGTGGTTTATATCCTTTAATCTATTGATATGGCATATTACATTAATCAATTTTTTGGATGATAAACAAACCTTGCATTCCTGATATAAATCCCACTTGGTTATGGTGCTTGGTTCTTTTCATATATTGCTGGATTGAGTTTAGTAGCTTGTTGAAGATTTTTAACATCAGTATTGATGAGAAATATTGGTCTATAGTTTTCTTATGATGTCTTTGTCTGATTTTGGTATCATGATAATACTGGCCTCGTAGAATGAGTTGGGAAGTGTTCCTTCCATTTCTAATTTTTGGAAGTGTTTGTAAAGAATTTCTATTACTCCTTCTTTAAATGTTTGGTAGAATTCAGCAATGAAGTCACATGGGTCTGGGCTTTTCTTTGTAGATAGCTTTAACATTACTAGTTCAATTTCTTGTTATAGATCTATTCAGATTTTATTTCTTTTTGAGTTAGTTTTTCTTTTTGAGATGGTTTGTGTCCATTTCATCTAAGTTACCTAATTGTTGGCCTACAGTTTTTCATAATATTTTCTTATAACCCTTTATACAACTGTAGGGTCAATAGCAATGTTCTTTCTTTTATTCCTAATTTTATTAATGTGAGTCTTTCTTTTTTTTTCTTTTTCTCCCTCGATCAGTTTAGCTAAAGTTTTATCACTTTTGTTTATCTTTTGAAAAAACCAACCATTAGTTTTGTTGGTTTTCTCTATTATTTTTAATTCTCTCTTTTATTATTTTTTTCCTTCTGCAAATGTTGCTTTTAGTTTGCTTCCCACTTCCCCCCAAAGTATTTTAAGGTGGCAGATTACCTTGTTGATTTGACATGCTTCTTCCTTTTTTTAATGTAGTCATTGAACCTCTAAGTTTTCTTCTAAAACTGTTTTAGCTACGTCCCATTACTTTTGTCATGTCATTTTATTTATGTCAAAGTTTTTACTAATTTCCTTTTTCATATCCTCTTTGTCCATTGGTTATTTAGAAATGTGTTGTTCATTTTCCCATATTTGTGAATTTCCCAAAAATCTTTCTGTTATTAATTTTTAATTTCACTATATTGTGATCAAAGAACATACTTTCTGTGATTTCAGTTCTCTCTAATTTGTTGAGATTTGTTTTATGGCCTACCATACAGTCTATTCCAGAGACTTTTCCAGCCCTGTAGAAGAATTTGCATTCTTCTGTTGTCAGTCAGAGTGCTCTATAGATATCTGTATTAGGTCTAGTTGGTGTAAAGTGCTGTTCAAATCTTTTAATTACTTACTGATCGTCTGTCTAAGTGTTCTATTCATTATTGAAAGTTATATGGAAGTCTCTAACTATAGTTGTTGAATTGTCTATTTCTCTCTTCAACTCTGACAGTTTGTGTTTTATGTATTTTGAGGCTCTGTTGTATATATCTTTATAGTTGTTATACATTTCTGGTGTGTGGACTCTTATTGTTATAAAATTTCCTCTTTATATCTATTAATATTTTCTTGTTTTATAATCTATTTTGTCTGATATTGGTGTAGCCACTTGTTGTGACTTTCTTAAATTAACACTTGTGTCAGGTGGTAAGCCATAGTTCCACAAGAGACCACAGGGAAAATAGAAATAGAGAAGTTTATTACTCACAAGTCCTGGAGGAAGTACACAGCATGTCTTGAGGGTCCATGCAGGGCTACAGGCACAGAAAGTGGTGTGACCTGAATCAAATGCCTTTATTAGAGTCAGCGTGTTGTATGCCTTGGGGTTCCCAAGCCAAGCCAGACTGAGCAACTCAAACCAAAAAGAGCATGGTTTTGGTAAGCTTCACATAGGGTCTTACCTACAGGGCACACAAAGTGTAAGCCCTAGAAGGCGCCAGGTTAGGGGTGACTGTTTATCACAAGGGCCTTGGAGGGAGTCATATCAGTAACTTACATTTACTTGTGATTCTGTGTGCTATTATCTAGGGCATGCACTTATGGGAGAGGTCAATGTTAGTTCAAGGCCCCTGCAGGTTGCTTGGCCACACAAAATGGATACCAAGGCAGCAATATGATGGAGTAGCTTAGCTAAACTCTCTGACAACTATACTGTCTGTGAGATAATATCCTCAGATGGTCTCATAGCTCTTTAAACCAAGATTAGGAAGATTAATTATTTTACTTTCCCATCTGGATACAGAAAGGCAAAAGTAAGGATCATTCTAAATTTGTGAGGTTGACTTTAAATTTTAACTTTAAAGAATCTTATTAAATGTTTTATAATGTTCTTGTTCATGCATAAAATGTTTAAATTTAGCTAGAGAAAATTCTAAGTGTTCAAAGAGATGCTATCATATGCAACCCTAAATTAGAATTAACAAAGATTTGGCCCTATGAAGAGTTAACTAGTTACTGACATAATTAGTTGGCACTTCATGGGGATTTATAGCTTAAGATTAACTTGGTATGTTGTTGCAATTGTCCAAAAGGCACAAGGAAAGCTAAAGTTATAGCCACTAGGCCTAAATTCTAAAGTCTGGTCAGTTTCAGGAGGATAAAGAGAAGTCTGTCACTTCGTATTAATATATCTCTGATAAAAGTAGCAACCCTTCCACACAGGTGGCCCAAGGCACAGAAGGGATCACAAGTGATGCAGAGTCAGGACAACAA